TAGCATTGCTAAAAAAGCATTAAGAGTTGTTAACCTAATCTTGCGTTGCTTCTTCTCCGGTAATATTGAACTGCAAACTAGGGCATACAAAACTTTTGCCAGACCAGTTCTTGGATACAGCTCATCTGTCTGGAACCCACAGTGCATATCGTACATTAATACAATCGAACGAGTCCAGAGATATTTCACAAGAAGAGTCCTCCACTCTTCTGCTTGCAACAAAATACCTTATGCCACCAGACTCGAAATTTTGGGCTTAGACAACTTAGAACTTTGCCGTCTTTGATCTAAGCATAGTACATAAAAACATCTGCTACAATGTCCTACCAGCCAATGAATACTTCAGCTTCAACCAAAAAAATACAAGAGCACACAATAGATACAAACTCATGGTAAATTGATCCAAACTAGATTGCAGAAAATACGACTTCAGTGTTGTCAGTGCCTGGAATGCACTACCTGACTCTGTGGTTTCTTCCCAAACCGCCCAAAGCTTTAACCTTAGACTGTCTACTGTTGACCTCACCCCATTCCTAAGAGGTCTGTAAGGGGTGTGCATAAGTGCATCAGCATACCTATCGTATTTCTTTTATTTGTATCCTTTTCATCTATTTATAATTATGTTATACTTGTATCTGTCATAAAATACATGTTTGATGAAAATAAATAAATTCCATCCCCGACTCTTTCAAAACTGTAATGTTTGGTTAGCATGACTGGAAGCTTCTAATGATCCATATTCAATGTTTTCATTAACTCAATTTTATGTGGCATCATGATTCACTAGCAAATTGATGAAGTGGTTTGTTTCAGATTTTATTTTGTGCTGTGCTTCTGCCATTATAATGGAAATTATACTGAATGGATTTCTCCTACAACCTTCCATATGCTTTTCAAATATGATCTTGAGAATATTGGATTATCCCTTAAGTATATTGGGGAGTACTTGAGTCCAGAGAGTGGAAGAACAAGGGAAAGCTTCTCTTGGTTCTCAGATGCCTTTGAATAATGTTGATAGAGTCCATTGTTACTGCTATAATCTTTTTTTATCATTGTTTTATTTTCTTTTGATTAAACTGTATATTAAAACACTGAATAGCTAATTTAGAAAGGCAGTACAATAATATGACAGTAATAAAATTTATTTCAGGAAATATAATCTGCATGTTGTACCTATTTAATAAATTTTGCATTGTTAATGAGATAATGAACATCTAAAAAACATGAACAATTTTGTAAACAATCGTCCATAAAACAGAGAGGATAACAAGTAATATCTATTATAAAGTTTTCATTACAATTTGTAAAGACTATTTAAAATTCTGGTTCTGCTTGGTTTTAGACACTATTTTATTCTGAAAGATTTTCAAGTACTATACAATAGAGCACTTAGTATCATGCTGAGAGATTATTTATATTCTGAGAAGATTTCTTAATCTAGTTAAAGATGCAAGGAACAGAATAATTCCAGTTCTAATGGGTTGTAAAATGGTAGCAATTCATCAGTGCCTTTTTGTGCAAAATTATTTGTGATTTCACAGATCTTTTTTAAAAAAACTTTTAGTACTCTTTCATATAATTAGGTATCTTACCAACTGCTTAATTAACTGAACAGAGATGGATGGGACTAGTTTATGGAAATGAACTAACTAATCTAAACTTCTGGCATAGTAAATATCAAGTCACAGTATAGTAAACATTAGAATACTTAAATTTAAAGTGAAATATACAATGGTTCTTCTTGATAGTCCTCTTCCAAAAAGTATTATTTCCACTTTTCTTTTTTTTTTTAAAGGTCATTAGTAATGAATTGGATGTATCATTAGCAAATCCCATAAGGACATAAACATTCAGCAGTTACCTATAATCCATATCTTTGTCCAAAGTTAGTAAAATATAGAAAAAGAAAATCAAGAAGTTTCACTGTAAATTTTTGGAGATTAGTGTTTAAGGTAAAGTTTAAGGTAAAGTAAAATGAAAAACAATATGCTGTATGAAACATAATTCCAAGAATGGAATTGCAAATTCTGAGCCTTAATAGCCTTTTTTAAAATACTTTTTAAAATAAATTTAAATTCTCAATGGTAGATTTAAGAATTTGACTACAGAGTCATAAAAAGTGAGTTCATTTATCGTATTTTTTGGAGTATAAGACTCACTGGAGTATAAGACACAGCTTAGTTTTTGGGAAGGAAAATAGGGGGGGAAATCTGCCTACCAGGTATTCATCTGGCTAGCTCCTTAGTCTGGTCAGCTTCAGCACATTAGTTTGCTCGTTTTGAGCGCACGCACGCTTTTTATTCCTAGCTTGGGGATTAAAAAAAAGCTAAGCACAGCTGAGAAGGACCTGCAATGAGAAAAGCAGGCAAAGCAGGGAGATCACTTCACTTGATAGCGCCTCGTTAGGGCTGAAAAAAAGCTTCGAAAAAGTTACATTCGGAGTATAAGACTCACCCAAATTTTCAGCTTCTTTTAGGGGAGGAAAAAGTGTGTCTTATACTCTGAAAAATATGGTAATTTGTATGCCATCCAGAGTCAATGTTGAGTTTGATGGCCTTATAAATCTAAATTATAAAAATAAATAAATAAATAAATATAGGTAGTCTGGTTAACAAAGGAACCAGAATTTACCTCATGTAAGCAATGTAATTTAAATCACAATATCATGTGACCACATCGCTTAGAGATGGCGATTCCAGCAGACCCTGTAGCGATCATTATGCAAGGATTGCTGTTCATCAAACTAGTGCCAGAGAGCTCACAAGCAGGCCAGACAGATAAATAGCTATTGCCAGGCAGGGAAGACTGTGCAGGTGGCAGATATGGCACAAATGCTGGGGGTGACTGTTGCCAGGTGGGGGGGGGGAATTCAAGCAACTTTTGGAGTGACTTGTAACCATCTCTCTACTTCCCATTGATTTTGTTCATGGGAAGTCTTCAACCATTATATATGCAAGCCAGTTGCCAAGTGCCCAGATCACAATCATATGATTGCAGGAGTGTGAGACAACTTGTATGTATGACTTTAAGGACTAGTCATTATTGCTCATTCAGTGCCATTGTAACTTCAAACAGTTGCTGAATGAGTAGTCATTGAACAAGGATGACCTATACCAGTTTTATTTCGCTATAATTTATAATCTCAACTCTATTACTGTGAAGCTTGTCATACAGGAATAACTCTTCACAGGATTAGCATGATCACAAGGTAAGATGACTCTCAAATGCCAAGTACCACTTGTGTTTTTATCAATTTTCAGTGGTGGTTATAACCCAAGAATAAACAGATCCTTTAAAACTTAGACTTTACGGCCGTATTAAACTAATATATCATATTTATTTACTTAACTGGAGAATTCTAGAGCAATTTTGGGATGACACATGGGGTTAAGAGAAAAAAAAATCCTGTTATAATATTTGATTTACCATACAGTATATATCACTGTGAAAATAATAAAAACTGAATAGAAGTTTAATATTGCCTTACTTTTCAAGGATCATAGATTTCCTAAACTTGCTATCCTTTTTATATTCACATATATATTCTAATTATTTTTAAGAAATATAACAGTTTTATAATTAAAGATATGGTTTAAAAACACAAGAATGTGTTACATATAATTAAGTTACATTGTAATTGAATGCAAATATATAAATGAGTTTCAAGTAAAATTACAGAAATAATAAAATGCATGAAATTAAAGGTGGTAGCACAGACTATCAGTTCCTCCAAGGAAACAAGAAATAGTCTGTTATGTGTGGTATATTATAGTAAAATGTGATCTAATGAAAATGGTAGATTTCCATTGTAATACTGGTAGTATTTAATAACTTGCTTCCTTTAAACTGGGAGAGGGGTTGTATTTTCATTGAAATCACCTACAGGAGTACTTCCTTAGGCATTCTTGTGTTAATCATATATTTATAGCTAATATTAAAGGTTCTTAACCCTGGGACATAATGAATTTCTATATGCCATTAACAAGAACAGTGGGTAGCTGAGATTTCTGGTTCCATAGAGGTGAATTATAGCTTAGTGAAGGAAATAATGAGCAATTGGAATTAAAAATCAGAAGTACTTACATATCTCCTGAGTATTTGCATTTTAGTGTAAATAAGTTTAGGATACCAAATATTATTAAAAAATATTCTGAGAACATGCAGTTTAAATAATGGTAATTTTAAGAGCCATTTTGGTGTTGTAGTTAAAGGCAACAGATTAGAAACCAGGAAACCTTGACCTTTAGTTCTTAGACCCTGGCTTCACATCTTAGAGCAGGTCCTGTCATGCTGTGATACTAAAAATATGATAGGACCTACTGCTAAAATTTGAAGGTGTTTTTCTGAGATGCAAAGTAAATTACTCAATTCTGAAGATTTTGTAGGGACCCTGGCTTCATGTCTAAGGCAGAACTAAAGCTCAAGGTTTCCTGGTTTCTAGTCAACTGCCTATAACCACACCACCAAAATGGTTGTTAAAAACAACATTTAGGAGACCAGCACAATTTGACTTTACATTGAGATGTCATCTGATGGAAAATTAATCAAACAAAACTACTAACACGATCTTTCTTCCTCCCAATACTACTGGGAAATATATCACAAATATGAATGTCATTAGTAATAGTTTAATAAAATATATGTGCAGCCTCTGATTGAAATTAACAATTGAAATAATTCTTTCCCTTGTTAGTTGTTCTAATCGTTAGATTTTCTCCAAGATTCAGCTTGAATCTGTCTTTCCCTGTCCTTGAAATAAAGGAAAACATATCTTAACCTTCTGTGGAACATTCTTGAAAAGTGCTATTGTACATTGGCTTTTTTGCTATCTTTCTTCGTCTTCCACCCCACTAAAATTAATTATTTGTATAGAAGCATCGCGAAATGCTGAAAACTTTACAGTGAATTTCACTTACTAATAAATTATTTTTTCAAACAATACTATGTTTTCAATATACATGTTTTAATATACAAAATATACATGTTTATTTTCCTGGCAGGTCACAGTAATGAAAGGCAGCAATAGGAATAAAGATCACTCAACAGACGGAGAAGGAACTGGAAAACGACCAAAGAGGAAGTGTCTTCAGTGGCATCCACTACTTGCAAAGAAAATTCTTGACTTTTCTGAAGAGGAGGAGGAGGAAGAAGACGAGGAAGATATTGAAAAGGTAAAATTACCCTTTTGAAAAGTAGAATTAAGAATGACACCCCTAAGTTTATGCGGAACACAGGTTGTCCTCAATTTATGGCCACAATTGAGCCCAAAATTTATGTTGCTAAATGAGACAGTTGTTAAGTGACTTATGCCCCATATTACATTTCTTGCCACAGTTGTTAAGTGAATGACTGCAGTTGTTAAGTTAGTAAAACTGTTGTAAAATGAATCTGGCTTCTCCATTGACATTGCTTATCAGAAGGTTGCAAAAATTGATCAAATGACCCCGGGACACAATCATCATAAATATGAACCAGTTGCCAACATCTGAATTTTGATCATAGGAATGCTGCTGCAACAGTTGTAAGTGTGAAAAATGGCCATAGGTCACTTTTTTCAGTGGTGTTGTAACTTTGGACTGTCACTGAATGAATGGTTGTAAGTCGAGAATTACCTGTTTTAAGAAATTAAGCTTATTTATAAATAGCTTTTTTCATATCAGAACCTGCAAATGGACTGTATACTCAATGAACCATATCTTTAGTGGTGTTTTGAAGAGCATTTTTATAAGGCATGTACTGTTTTTGAAAACTAAGACGATATTTCCTGAATCATATTGTGGGATCCTGACTACAACAGATGAACATATTATTCCTCAAATTATATTTGATTAACAGATGAAAACACCAGACCCTAAAGATGTCAAAGTCTTTTCCTTGAAGTTGTGCCACCTTCACCCAAATACTGCTGTTAATATCTGATGCTAAAGAGAATGTATAAGCAGAATGAACCTAATTTAATTTAATTTAATTTAATTTAATTTAATTTAATTTAATTTAATTTAATTATTTAATTTAATTTAATTTAATTTAATTTAATTTAATTTAATTTAATTTAAATAGTTCAATTTAGGCACTGATTTTGATTTTGAGCCGATCTTAGCAATAGCACTTAGACTTATATACTGCATAGTGCTTTACAGCCCTTTCTCTCTAAGCAGTTTACAGAGTCAGCATATTGCCCCAACAGTCTGGGCCCTCATTTTACCAACCTTGGAAGGATGGAAGGTAAGGATCAAACTGCTGGCAGTTGACAGAATTATCCTGCAATACTGCATTCTCCCAGAAGGCTGCAGAGTGGGTCAGGAGTGGGATGATTCAGTTGGTCTGTCCAGTCACTGAGTCGAATTGTTTTGGCCACGCCTCCTCTGGCCTCCATCGCCTCCAGTTTTATTCGACTCAGTGGTTCTGACCAGACGTCTCTCTGAGTCTCTCACTCCTGACGGAGCTCAGCATTTCATTTCTTTGCGATTTCGGCGCTGTGTGAGCTGGCCACTTCAGTTTTAGGCTGAAAACGCCGCCACTGCCATTCCAGCGATCATCAGCTGAGAGGCGGTAGCGTGTTTAAGTGCGATTTGGCATTTCGGCGCTTTTACCCTGCCGGTGGTTGCTGCAGCTGGACGTTAATCAAAGGAAGATACCGCCGATCCTTCTGGCGCTCATCAGCTGAGAGGCAGTCGCACAATCCTGTGAGCCACCGGCGGCTGCTATCACATCTGCTGCAGCCTGTCAGTTTGTCAGCGGCCATTGCCCCCGCGTCACCGCCACCGCAGCGTTTGCTGCCTCGCAGCTGAGAGGCGGCTACAGCTATTCCGAACGATCTCTCTCACCGATTCCCTATATATCCGCTGATAAAGAACTTGAAATAACGCCGGATATTTATCCACTTCGGCACATCGGGTCTCTGGGGAAACCGTCGCCTTCTGAGGCAATTTGACAACTGTGGTGGCCATTTTACCTTTAAAGGAGCGGCATTCCTCGTGGGGCGGCCATTTTCGTGAGGAATTCAGTGGTGGCCATTACACTAGCGCAGCAGTTATCCTGCTGAGCGCTATTTGTCCGGATTCATAACGGCTTCTGGTGCTGGCATTTCTCAGTTTCTGAGACAGCCGCCCAGCATTTCCTTTGTGTGCAGGCCACTGCCACCACTGCTCAGCCTTCCTTTCCAACATGGCGGACCAGTCTTCTACCAACAAGGCTGAACCTGGCCGCAAGGCCTCATCTATATCTGCTTCAGGCATAAAATCTCACCAGCCGTCACAAAGTGAGATGCAGGATCTCCAAAGGCGACAGAAAGCATTGGAGCACCACCATCTACAAACGGAAAAGGTCAGAGTTGATCGCGAGGACAACTCAATCAGTGCTCCATGTGATCCCCAAGACCAGGGATTGGAGGATGATCCTGACTTATCCACGGCCCTATCTCCGGAGACACCGGACCGACAATCTGCCGGCTCTCCATTTGATAAAGACAGGTCAAAGGGGGATCCGTTTGCTTGTTCGATCACACTTCAGGATCCTCTTCCTGCCCCACCAACAGCTCAACGTTCCACCACTTCAGAACTGGAGGATCTTCCTGAGACGCTGCACCAATTGATTGCCAGAGCCATTTCGCATGGCATTGCTGCTGGCATTAGAGAGCATCGCTCCGCTTCATTAATTTCAGAGAGCCTCCATTCTAGGCGTTCCCGAGTCTCTCCTTCTGCCAGCCTAACTGGATCACATGACCGGTCCCCAATGAGATTAGGCGGCAGCGCTGACCTCAGATTGGACGACGAGCCACAGAGGGATACTGACCTCTCTAATGACGAAGGCGCCCCTCCAGATGTTCCGGCCTTCACGGGCTTATTTCCCCAGGGGCTTTTCAAGTCGCTGCTACACAAAGCCAAAGTCACATCTGGTCTTTTGGAGTCTGTTTCTGATCCAGCATCGACTTATGCTTTAATCGGCCATGGTATCTTTTCGAAACCAGTTGCCGAACAACTTTTCGTCCCGGCCCCCAAATTATTTATGGATGTCGTCCAAAAGCAATGGTCCAACCCAGCTTCCCTTCCTACACCTAGTGGTGCTGACCGTCATAACTATAATATGGACCCTTCCTTGGCTAACATCTTACAGGTACCTACAGTGGATGGCCCTGTGGCTGCCGTTTCTTCTCCTTCCTCTTACCTCTCAGGGGACTCATCCGAGGGCCTTAAGCCTGAGGACAAAAAATTTGACTTGTCATTTAAGAAAACACACCAAGCCTCAGCCTGGGCGATACAGGCCGCTACTGCGGCATCTTTCTTCTCCCGTTCACCCCTATTATGGCTCCAACAGCTGCAAGCTCGTTTACCTGCACAAGACGCCTGGGTCCATCAGGACCTTAACAAAATAATTGTGGCCACTCAATTTGCTTCCGATGCCATGCTCAACGCAGTTAAGTACGCCTCTTGGGCAATAGCATCATCAGTCACCTCGCGTCACCTGTTATGGCTGCGCCAATGGCCAGCTGATCTAAAAGCCAAATGGCGCCTTGCTTCAGCCCCATATACGGGGTCTAAATTGTTTGGTGACTCTCTCGAGTCTTTACTAGTTGAAGATAAGGATAGAAAGAAGGTACTGCCTTCTGTCACCAGGAGGGCAGATCGCCAGGCTACTCCCTACTACCGTAGGCAGCCGGTTTGCTTCTCCCCTCAGGAGGGTACTAGTCAGTGCCCGTATTCACAGGGCTCCTTTCGTAATCAGGATCGGAGTTCCTTTTGGGACAAGCCAAAGTTCTTTGGTCCTCCAAAAAGGTCGTTTCGTGGAACTGGTAACTGCCAGTTCCGCCACCAGAAGTGACTCACCCCTTTCCTGCTTCCATAGGGGGCAGACTGAGCCTCTTTGTAGACAAGTGGGCCCGCATTACGACCATCGAATTCGGACTTCCATTGGAATTTCTTTCCAGCCCCCCAAACCACTTCGTACCATGCCCTGTCTCCAACTCCCATCGCAAGCGCAGGCTCATGGAGCTTGCCATTCAACATCTATTAGATATCAATGCTGTAGAGGAGGTTCCTCCCGACCAGTGGAGACAGGGATTTTACTCAATCCTATTTGTGGTACCGAAACGCTCTGGGGGCTGGAGAGCGATACTAAACCTAAAATCTCTGAACACTCACCTACAGGAGGTTCAAAATGAACACTCTAAAATCCATTCTGGAAGGGATCAGGCCCGGGGACTTTCTAGCCTCCATAGACCTCTCCGAGGCCTACCTCCACATCCTGATATCGCCGGCCCACTGGCGTTACCTCAGGTTCAGCTACGCGGGGCGTCATCTCCAATATCGTGCCCTTCCATTCGGTCTGGCATCGACCCCGCACAGCTTCACCAAGGTCCTAGCAACCCTAGTAGCCTATCTTCGATCCGTACCGGTACGGCTTCAAGCCTGCCTGGACGATATTTTGGTCCAGGCATCCACTCTCCAGAGGGCTCAGGCCGACTTAGATCTGACTTTACGGGTTTTGCAAGACCACGGGTTCTTAGTCAACTTACCCAAGAGCCAATTAGAACCTCAAACCCGCCTAACGTATCTCGGCACAATAAGCGACACTCAGGCGAGGCAAGTGTCGGAGAGACAATCTCTGACTACTGATAGGTCAAATCCTCCGGGAACCGGCAGTGACCAAACTCAATCTTTCAAGGATACTAGGGAAGTTGGCATCATGTATCAACATCGTGCCTTGGGCTTGGCTCCATGCACGCAGTCTCCAGTGGCTCCTGCTACCACACCAACAGACAAAAACCGCGGCTTCCCATACCAGGATCAGGGTTCGCCGGTCATTGCACTGGTGGCTGTCCCTGGCCCTAGACAAAGGGTGCGTTTTCTCAGACACCCAACAAATCCTCATTACGACAGACATCAGCCTGTTCGGGTGGGGGGCACACTTGGGCTCACAAGTAACCCAAGGCCGTTGGTCTCCCTCGGAATCCCAATCCAGCATCAATCTGCTGGAGCTATGAGCAATACGCAATGCTCTTCAGACTTTCCAACGGACTATACAGAGACACCACATTCTAGTCCTTAACAACAATGTGGCGGCGAAAGCCCACGTAAATCGCCAGGGAGGAACGAGATCCAAGACACTGATGCAGGAAACTCTACTGCTCGGGAGGTGGGCAGAGGCTCACCTCACTTCTCTGCGGGTGGAT